GTTCTAACTTTATTTTTTACCTTTCAGTTTGTTTTCTTAGTGTATGTTTGTAATAAATATATAGTAGAGTTAATATTAAGCAAAGATAATTGCTTAGCAGATGAAAAATTAGAAATGCATTTTGAACTAATTGTCCTTCCAGTCTAATTTACATAAATAAAAGTGTGTAACATATAAACCAACGATTTTCATTTATCACTTACAAATAGCAAAGTTAGATTATTTTGTGAGCAATATTAGTATTTCTTTAAAATGCTACTTTTTACAATAATTTTTTTTACATTAGTAACAAATGCAGGTAACCCCCGTATAACACGGCACTTCTATAGCACGGATTCGCTCTAACACGGTTCGAGAATTGGTACCATCCCCCGTATAACACGGTACTTTTATAGCACGGATTCACTCTGACACGGTTCGAGAATTGGGTAAAACCCTCGTACAACAGGAAATGTAATAAATTTTTACATACTTAAGTAATAATAGTTCACGAAAATTATTATTTTCGTGAACTATTAGTACTTAAGTATGTAAATTTTCTCTTCTCGCCTTCTGTCGATACACGTGGTCCTTCTCGAAACTTGTTTCAATGTTGCCAGATCGCGACGCTTCTGCTTCTGATGTTGCCGAATGTTTTTCCCTTATTCCATACTTGCTTTATTCTTCATAAGTGCTTAGCACCATATAAGGAAATTTATAAAGACCTTTTAACTAGAAGCAAGCAATCTAAAATTACATACATTTTGCAAAAGGTAAAGCATGGATCTGAAGATAATGCAGAAAAATGCTCAGAGGATAAGGATAACTTGCCAAAAAGAAAACGCTCTCGGTTAATTAATAGTGTTTTTAGTGATGACGAAGAAAACACTGTTTAATTTATATTAATATGTATCACTTTAAAAAATTTTAATAAAGATATTTATCTTAATTATGAAAATATAATAGCATGTTTTTTAATTTTTGGAACCTAACCCTCCTTTTCGTACTAGTTCTTTGTTTCGTATAACACGGATTCGCATAACACGGCAATTTTTTGGAACGTAACTACCGTGTTATACGGGGGTTACCTGTATATCATTGATAAAGTTTTTTTTCATCCCAAAAGAAAACCTTCCTCATTGTATTGTCACCAGACTGGGTGCAAACATTATAAATGGGATATGAGAATGGCCACAACCCAACTATATACCAGGAGCGTTATGAAAGAGCACGTAATCAGGAGAAATCTAGCCACTTGGGTCTCATATATTTCTCAGCTTTCATTTGTGAGAGCTTACAAAGTAAAATAAGTATGATAATTTGTTGTCAAAACCAAATTCTACTTTAGACTACAACTCTTGTTGTACCGTACAACGAAGATGCTGACTTCGTATGGATCGACATTTTGACATAATGAAACTTTTTCTTTATATAAAACAACATCTCGTCCTGTCAGATTGCGAGAATAGCCCATTAGAAAAGCAACTTTTTTAATTTTGTCTATGATATAGAAATACTGCAGTTTTATTATGTTTAAATAGAAAAAAAGCGCTGCAACTTGTCAAATAACAAACCGCGTGCAAACTAAGCAAGTGGAAGCTAGACTACAAAGATGGCGAAGGAACGGAGCTAACGCAGCTGAAACCATTACACTGCTCTTACATGTGTTGTCAGAATGTTCATTTTTGAATGGTAATGTTAATACGGTGAAATTTTTGCTATCCGAAAAATCGAAAAGTAGAATTGACAATTTCTTTTGTTTTTATCATTGCTTCTTTATGAAACTACGTTTAGTAATAAGTTGATATACTTACATAACAAGCTTTTGTTCTCAAATCTTAAAACTCTTTTCGATATTATGCTGGGATAATGACGCTACAGTAACTCCATAAGCGTTTTAAACTTCCATTAACCCAGTAACTTTTTTACTTGCAATTTTATATTAACAATTAACTGCAGTGAATTGCAAAACAGGATAAATTTCAAATATATGCTGTTGCAAAAACGTCGATTTTTTGCAACAGAATATATTTTCTCTACGAAATTTCCTTTAGTCAATCATAACAGTGCAATATACATATTGAAACTTTCCTGTTAAATCGTTATAATCTAGTTTCGAACTTAATTATTTATGTTTTCGTTATAGGATAAGCAATATCAAATACACATATTTTAAATGATAGGTATTTTTTAATAAGTTCTGTAGGCCTATACAATTCAATCTGTTAAGTTGGGCTATAAATCTTTGCGAACTCAAGGATTTTTAAAATTATTTTTACTATTTCCAACTATTTAGAGTTGTTAAAGGTACCGTAAAATGGGGTGATTGTAGCCAAAATATTAAACAATAAAAATAAACAAACAATATAAACTGCATTTGAAGCTGTAAATCTGGTAGAATGTCACAACGAGAAGCTAGTTCTTACTTCCATATTGCAAGGACAACTTTACAAAATAAAATTAATGGAAACCGTCCTTTGAAAGAAGGTCAGATAGTTTTGACCACAGAAGAGGAAAGCATCACCAGTTACCATCTTAATATGGCATAAGAATTTGGATTTCTCATTACAACAACTGAATTACGACATGCCATAAAGGTTTATATGGACTATAAAGGAACAAAAATATACCTGGATATGATTTTATAAAAGGATTTTTACAATGCAATAAGAAACTAGCTATATGAATATCTGATAATATCATTGCAAGAAGAGGTAGAATTTCTACTTAAACTGTAGAAGAGTTTTACAAGAATTTGGCAAATACATTGGATGGGCATTGAACCAGGTTGAATTATTAACATGGATGATATAATGGGGTTCAAAATTTCCAGGAAAAATATTGAGAGTAGACTCTAAATGTGCCATAGTTACTACAATGATAATCAGCCATTTTTATTGAAAGTGACGTACTAAGGAAGATATACCCAACTTTGAAAATAGAAATATAATTCAGCTTATACAAGAATCAACAGCTCTTAACAGGCCAGGGATGTTTTCAATCTCTGAAATGAAAAAACATTGATAAAAATACCAATCTCTTATTTTAAATTTTTATAATTTTGTAATAAAAATTTTAAAAAATTGATCTTTATTACAAATATATTTTTGTTAATGATATGGGAAAAATAATATCAGTAATATCTTTGTAATCAAAATGTTTGTAATAATTATTTTATGATTCTATTTCTAATATTTTATTTTAAATAAAAAAGAGTTTTTTAAACCTTATTTTATATAGTTTTTAATAATAGTTTATAAACTTTAAAAGAATAAATAAATAGTAAGCTTTAAAAATATTTTTTAATGGTCATATTCAACTCATAGAAGGTTAACTGTAGTACAACACGCACTTTCCAACGACAGGACATAGTCACCCCTATGATAAAGATGAGCATGATTTAAAAATGAAAACTTTTCTGTCACAAGTGCATAATACCCGTTGGGTTGCTATTATTATTATTTAATATATTAATTGTAATTCTATTTGTATTAGTTTTAATCCCATTTTTTAAAAAAAATTGGTCGAAGTCACCCATTTTACGGTATACAATTGAGATATTAAAATTAAAGAATTCGTGACGGCGCATCTCCTTTAATTTTGGCATTAGTTTCTCTGAGTGTCCCTAGATGTCACTGACCTAGTGCAAATTAATTNATGGCACTGACCTCGTGCAAATTAATTAAAATTATCCGGCACGCTAGGGTGTGGCGAAATGTAGTGCTGATCAACGCCATTACATTTCTTATATGTACTGTATTACTAAAAATACACAAAGCGCAACAACTCATACATTGACAAAGAAGTAGGGGTGCCACTATTAGAAGATTGAGTAAAAATACTGCCTTAAGCAGTAACTTATTTACTTCATGTGAAAGCTATTGAGTTTGCCATAAATCTTGTTTCCTAGACTTATCCCATGTATCCCACATTTGTTGTTGTTTTATACGGCAACGCAACTCGCAGGAGATCTGCGAAAGGGATTCCTCCCGGGAGGATTTTCTACGGGAAAATGGCCTCTATTTAGGTGTTAAGAATACAAATATGGGGAAATTTTTAGTTCTAAATTAAGTTAGTTATATTTCAAATATGAATTATTTATTTTTGATGAGAACGTTTAAAATGTTTAAAATGTTATATAACAGATAGATAAAAGAATTTTTAATATAGACGTATGCTATATTATTAAAAATCCCCTTGAGTATAACACTAAAATTGGTCTTTAACATCGAAGTTGACAAAGCAATTGTATTCATTCTTTGTAAAATTGAACAGAAAATTGACTGCGACAAAAGTAACCTTATGTAAGATATTGAAAAAGCCTGGCAGGCGGTACATACTAAAGTTGAAATATGGTATCAATAATTTTTTGACAGTTTGAATAGGATGTTCTTTTCTTTTGAAGAGAACAAATATCTACTACTACACGGTATGAAAACATTTATTCTACCATATTAATCAAGTAATTATCACTTGTTTCATTAATTAATTAATAAACCATAAATTGCGTGAAGATCGCAATTTTACGATCGAGAAATGGCTAGAAACAATAAAATAAATTCAAATTTTCGAAATGGCCAATAACGTTGAAGAAAAATTCAAACTTTCAAAACGGCCAATCACCATAACTACTTAACAGTGCCCTCTAAGAGAAATTATTTTTAATTAATATCAAATTTTGTTATTTTAAAAAAATAATTTAATTTTACGAGACTAATACAGTCAAACCTCCGAACAACGGCTACTGGCGGGAATATGAAGACTGGCTGTTGTTCGGAGGTTATTTCGTATGCATTTTTGTTCCAAAAACGTTTCTGAAAAAAATGGCCGCTATTTAGAGATGGCCGATTATAAGGGTTCAACTGTATTAGAATTGTATGAGGAGTTTAAATATTTCTAATGTATAATCTAAAATGTATATATATACTATACAATTTAATTAGCTGTTATAAATTTGAAAATTATTAAGAAAACGTAATTCTAAATTAAAATTTGTCTTTCATTTTTTTATTTTTCTCAAGGAAAATTAATTCGTCTTACTCGGACGTGCAGTCCTGACGACATTATAAAAGAGGAATGCGAAGATGGAATAGAAAATGGAGATGTAGTCATCGTTTGTCATCGTGCATGCTCGACAGATAACTGCAATATATCTCCTAATATACAACTTACGAGAAGTTTACTAATTGCCTTGCAATTAATAATACTTATGATTTAAAACAAAAATAAATAATACAAAATATCCTGACTTTTTTCATAATTTAAGCTTTTAAAATTTTTTAAAGTTTTATATTATTTTATTTTTATTTAATTTTTTAATGGTTTTCTTTCTCAAATACTTTTTAAAATTTAATTTCAACTGCTTTTTATGTAGTGAAGGCTTTTTGTAAGACTTGAACACGATCAGATTTTAAACTTGTCATCATGAGTCAACAATAGAAAAATATACATATTGCATTTTTTTTTTTAATATTATTTTAACGATTTTATAAAATATGATTACATTTTATCATATTCCATATTCAAACTCATTATTCAATTTTTTTTTCCTCCTCAAAGAATTCTTCTTTTATTGAAACAAATTGTCAAACATTAAAGTAATTTAATTAATCAAGAGTTCATGTACATGCATAAATTATATTAGATGTAATTCAAACATGTACTGTACATTTAACTCTGGATTAATTTTTGACGGTATTTTTAATATTTTTCAACTTACTCTTTCAGTTTTTTAAATTTGTTTTTGTACAAAATATTTATTTCCTTTAGTTCTTTTGACCTCACTTCTACAAAAGATATTTTACTATACATTACTTATAAGTATACAGTTCAATTTTAATGCATTTTTAAAGTTTAGAATATATATATATTTTTTCACAAATTTTTAAAATTTTATATATAATAATTAAGATATATTTGTTATTTAGANTTCAACTCAATTTTTAACTTAAATAACCTTCAAAATTTTACGTATGAATGATTTAAAAGATATTCAATCTATCCGACGTCACAGGTATCCTAGCAACACAATCCATTAACAACAACAAAACTTTAAACTCTTAATTATAATTTAAATCATATCTCAAAATCGGATAAATTCGCGTAAACAGACGTAAAAGAAATAAGTTTTAACACACACAAAAAAATTGAAATACGTAACAGTATTAAATTCGTATCTACATTAAAATACTTTATATTAAAAATTAAATAAAAATAACATCAGGTGGCGCTGTATTACACGTGGAGAAAGTCGGAAAAAATCCACACGTTTTCGTGCTAAATTAAGGAAATTTAATGGCGGAATATCTAATATGAACGTTTAAAATATTGTACGCCGTTCGATTGTAGTTGTCCTTAATGTTCATTGATTTCCTTTTAACGTTTGTAGATTGTTGAAATCGCTACTAATGAGCGGCATTAGCGTAATTAGCGAACGGCACAATACCACTAATTGCCATGTTATTTGCAACTTTTTTAAAATAGTAAACGGCGAAAAAAAATGATTTGAATAGCTTCAAATACTCGTATTTTTTCTCCAATTTTTAAAACTGTTGATAAACGGATAAGACAGTCGCTTTCACTAGTGCAACTGGCTTGGCATAGCCTGAGCTAACATTACTATATAGGCAGTTTCTGATTGGTTGTACGATGTAGACGTAATATCCGACCCGAGCGGTGGAGTTCACAGGTGTAAATACTAGTCCTGCTCCCCAAGATGACGGTTAGTTGATTGTTGTTAACATAAAAAAGTACTCCGAGACGACCGTGTTGAGTTAGAAAAAGAAGCAAAGATGGAAACCACCGGTTGGATATTATTTCTCTGTATGGGATGCGTTGTGCTGACTTCAGGTAAGTGTTACGGCTTCGGTTCTACCCGTATAAAACATGGCTCCTACCAAAAAGCCACACCTGTTAGATTTCAAAATAGTTTTAAAAGTTGTCGCCAATCGCCGTAGGTCGATTCTAAATCGGCGATAATCGCTTTAAAAACTGAACGGGTAAGTAAAATAGAGGATTAGTAGATAAGGAAGAGTCTTAATGGGATAATATACGGTTTAAAACACTCTTTCTGAAGTGTTCTATAACTCGGGAGGTGGTTGCCAGTGACAATAGGTGTTGGTGGTGGTGCGAGTGACTCGCTTAACTTTGACTCTTCTCTGCAGGAGAGTATTTTTCTTTATTCTGCACACCCTGTACTTTTTGAATTGACTGGAGTCATACTACGCTGTATCGTCTCCACCTTTATCTAGTAACAGATCTATACAGGGTTAGAAAATTAACATTTTACGAACTAAATTTTAAAAAACGATTTTCTCCCCGTTTTAAATAATACATTTCGACAAAACGTACGAATAAAGAAAGTCTCAAAAGAAAATCTTATTGTGCTGCATCCATGCTATTATAGATTGAAAAATGTCAAGGAAGATTCTTTCCAGCTATTCCAGTGAATAGGTAGAATTTATTCTAAAATATCTTCAAAAACTATGTAAAAAAATAAATTTTTCGAAAATATATAGGCCTAGGCCTATATCAAATTAATAAAATATAATTGAAACTTATAATTAATTGATAATTTGCCATCTTTTATATGCCGTTAATTAATGGATAATTGACTAATAATTAATGGTAATTTTCCATCTTTTTCTATTTTAAATGGTGGTGTTTTTTTGTCACAAAAATGAATATTCATGTTTATAAACTAATAAAGTTTATTCGTTGTAAAGGTCACGTGTAAATCTGAGTTGTTAGTTGAGGATTAATGAGCGATTTATGAAACTAAGCTCGAACCAAAGCGAAAATAGTAAAATGAATATTTCTCTTTGATAATTCGGTAGAGTCAATATTTAAATTATTGAATATATCAAAGGATTAATCTAAAATCTTATAAATTCTAACTGCTTAAAATAAATTAATTCCCTCGATATTATTACTACGAAAACTATAGGCAGTGTATGCAGTGTATTTATATACATACATATATGTGTGTGTATCCAAGACTGTTTAAAATAGTTTCCTTTCAAAGGAAATCTGGGCTTTTTTGAAAAACAGTTTGCATGCAGCTACACAATGCAAGTTAAGTTTTTATGTAAGCATTATAATTCCTATTATACAAGATTTATGTTTTTAAAGCTATTATAAACCTTCTACTTTATGTGGTTTATATACATGTAAAGCTCAAAATAAGTTAATTTTTTCCTATATTTATTAATCTTATAAATTACATAAGATTTTAGTACGAATTAAGTATTTAAGCGATAATATATGTTGAAAGTTTAACTAATATTTATTTGTTTATAAAATCAGTTCAAAATTTAACAACTTTCAATAATTAATTTAAAAATTTAATGATTGTGCTTTGGGCAAATATAATAATATTTAAATTTATTCAAATTTGATTTTTGACCTAAAGCGTTTATCAGATTTTGATTTATATTGGTTGTATGTCATATAAAAACTTAGGAATTTAAAAATAATTGGGGACTAACCCCGAGGCCATATAAAATTCAATATTTACTGTTAGAAATAGTCAGGTACATAACTATACAACAGTCAACATAATCTAGGAGATACATTTAAATATACATAATAAATGACGTAAAAATTAATGTGTATCAGTAAGCATAGACATGCACATAAGCATGACGTTTATATCCATGTTATATATAAATATATATAATACAGTATTATAATTTTATTTATTTAGTTATATAAGTTATATATATAGNCTTAAATAATTCTTAAATTTCGTTTGTATTTGTATGTAAATTGCAAATTTTTTATAATTTATTTGCCGGTTCAAACAGGTGTGTTTTTAAAGAAAAGAACCACCTGGGTTTTCAATAAACCAATGAAAAATTACGTAACACGAATTATTGAAAACGTTATTCGTGATTTTAGTTGCGAAATATAATAAATTGATGATAATTTTTCATGTAATTTACAGCGTGTCATAAGAGAAGAGTTTTCATCACCTTTTTTTCCTCAAACATTCTACAAATTAATGAATTTTAACAGTCCCAAAAGAGGAACCGCTAAAGTACAGAGATGCCTCTATGTCCGAGGCACTGACAAAGTGACCCTGCTAACCTTAATCCGTGCCTCTAAAAACTAGATACGAAAGTGATATAAGTAGAATTTCGTCTTGATAAATAATTGAAATTTTGTTTTCAGTATTTTTATTTATTTATTCACATATTTTTCGAAAGAAGTGAGGACCTACTTTTATGACTTGTTCGGGCCTTATTTCGTTTCTATCTCTGAATTCTTCTCAAAATGTGTGTAGATTTTAATACTATATTTAGGCTTTATGTAGTAAAAATAATATAAATCTTTATAAAATACATACATATGCTTACATATATGCATGTATACGTAATTATTTATATATAAGCTTTATATTCAGTTCTATTGTAACAAAATAAACATATCAATATGAATTGCCGTACTGTAAACATGTTTTGTAGATTTAAAATTATACTAGAAATATTTTCAAGTTAAAAAAAAATGATAATTTTTTTAATATACAAAAACAAATTTCTCATGAAAAGGTTAAATATGAATTGACGACGAATTTATTTAAATTTAAAGCGTCGAGTTCAGCTGACACTGCATCCGTTTGCTACATAATTGGTTGCTGAGTTGGCTCATTCCAACTGGAACTATTTTATGTTATATTGACTTAAGTTCTGCCATCAAAACTTTTTTAAGATTAAAGCTTAATATTTTATTATCGATCGTTGTTTCGTCATTACTCGTCTTCCGATTCAATCGCTCGAAATTGTCCAGGAAAAGAACGGTAGAATTTCCATACGAATCACTATTACATAATCCATTAAGTAGTTTTTAAAGCACGAATCTACTCCAATTAATATTACCGAATTCGATTGCTACATTGTAATTTCGAAAAAAAGATAAGTCACGTTCAATGCTTACACTTAAATCTTAAAAAATTTCTTTACTTTTGCACTTAATTGAAAGAATTTTTTTTTTAAATAAAAAGTGTAAAATTTCCAAATGAGAAAAATATTAAAATTACTTTTTAAAGAAATTTCGCTTGATTGATTAAAATAAAATTCCAGCAGTTAAATCCGTTGATTAATCTTAAAATCGATACTTAAAAATTATTTGTTTCGTTTACAATTTTTCGCCATTTTTATTGAAATTAAAGACTATTAAAGGATCTATCTCGGCGAATGGATTGAAATATGAAATAAACCACGTGTTTATTTATTATTTGAATTAAATCAATGTATTTTTACAATTATTTCATAAATACAATTATGAATTTCATAACCAACTGAACATTTTCCATTTAATTGTAATGAAATGGATCGAAAATTTATCTATTTCGGTTCCGAAAATTTAATCGAGTGCATATTTTCACTTAATTATAATTAAATAGACACGTTTTTTGGACTGTTTAAAAATATATCAGTTTCAATCAATTCATAAAATTAACCACGTGCATATATCTCATTCGATTAGCACAGAAACCGGCACATTTTCTGATGAGAATTAGACATTATATTAATTTATGTTAATTTAAATTAATTTATAAATGTATTAACGAATATAGATCTGACTTAGCTCGACAGAAATGATTATAAATGCATTTGCAAAAATAGAAAATGAATTTAAAAACGTACGCTCTAATTCGTTTATAATTTAATTAATTAATCAAATGTTTAAAAATGGAAATTTGAATATCATTCTACTAATTATTATATCTATTAATATACAAATTCTTTAATTATAACTGTTTTAAGGTTAAAAATTATAAGAATAAGCGTTAAGATACTATTTATAACGTACAATATTTACTAAATTTTGAAATAAGCAATTTATTCTATTAAATATTAAGAATTATTTTGAATTTCTAGCCCTTTTTTCTTTTAATTTAACCGTAAAATATGCAATGTAGGAATTATTTAAAGTAAAATTTGTTTAATGCATAATATAATATCCTTAAGATATCATTTCTGATTTTTTTTTTTCCATATTTTTAGGCCAATATTTTTATTCTAAAATATTATCTTAAACAAGAAAACACCTTTCTTCTGGGCTTATATTTAGGCTCTTTATATCTGGGGCACGAATTAATGTTCTGGCTGACAATCCTCTACTTTGGCCTGTAGCTATACATCGATTTTATATATAAATACATAAGAATATTTATCTTAAATAATTCTTAAATTTCGTTTGTATTTGTATGTAAATTGCAAATTTTTTATAATTTATTTGCCGGTTCAAACAGGTGTGTTTTTAAAGAAAAGAACCACCTGGGTTTTCAATAAACCAATGAAAAATTACGTAACACGAATTATTGAAAACGTTATTCGTGATTNTATATACTATAATACACTATATTACCATATAGCAAAATTGGACTATAATGTAGACCTATAAATGCCCACTGTCGTCCGTCCGTCCGTCTTTCCTTAATATCAAGAATGGAGTTAAATAGATGAAATCCAAGACCAGATATGGAAACCTTAGGAGCAGAAGGTCCCGATTAACTATATACGAACTTCCGATGTAATCTAGAAGTTATGTTATTTCAATTCAAAAATTTTCCTTTTGAAAGGTGTTAGATAGATGACCAGCACGACTCATTGTTAAAGGAAAAGTATGATGTTCAGGGGCATGCCACTACTAATTGTAGGTTTAAAATAAATAAATTAAAAATATGATAAAAAATTGCAGCTTGGCATTATGACGATGTCATAATAAATAATTGCTCGTATAAATTTAAAAAAATTATGGTAATTTATTTATGTATAACTAAGACCTATGAGTGGTGAGGTGGAACCAAGCTAATCACAAATGTGGGGTTCGACTCTTATCGAAATCCACAATTTCAATAAAATAATTAAAAACAGATTTTTAAACCAGTTATAAAATGAATTTTAATGTTCCTCGCATTACGTTTTTTTACATAAACGACTAAATTTCGGAATTTCTTTGTGTCTGGAGCGTAAAACAAACGGCCGTGCTAATTATATGATATATTCTCAAGAATCAGTATGCATTTTATGGTTTCAGAATTTAGTCCTTTACTCTAAAAGTCTTTATCGGGAAGATTCAACAATAATCTGATAGATTTTTCACATTAAAATTCAAGTAATAATGAATCATTTATAATACCGAATATTTTATCATATTTTTGTTATCTCTTAAGTCATTTTAATACTAAAATAAAAATTTTAATATCAAGAACTTCAGTTTTAACGTAAAAATTAGATTTAAATTTTTCAGAAATCATTCTACAGTATATTTATATTTAAACTATACTTTGTCCTTAAATGTTTGCGCTTCTTTTTCGTATGTCTACAATTATTTTGCTGTACAAATTAGTTCGAGTGATGGTTAATGTTTGTTTAAAACGTTATTTGCGCTAGCTAACGTTAAAGCTTTGATTTGGAATGTCATTCTGTAACTAACTCGAATAATACCAACCACTTTGTTAAATGAAATTTTTATGTTAAAGTATTTTATAACTTAGAATTTCTGAATGCCATCATAAAAGCAGCGCCTAAATGGTTGCTTTCGTATAAAAATAAAAGGAATTTTATTAACGTTAATCCACAGAATTTTCAGATCTCTCGCAATTAAACTATCAAATATTTATTTTTTATCAAAGGGATTTCTTAAAATCTTGCATTCGTAAAGTAACGTAAAGATCAGATTTCGGTATAAAAGTATTTTAAACGCGATTTAGCTTGTTCTGAAATGATCAAATTCCTTATTGTATCGAATTAATCGGTAAAATATTATTCAAAAAATAGTTTGAAAAAGTCCTTCGAGCATTTTTCATTGCCCTGTCTTCACTTAAACTCTGAAATTTACTGTCTAAATGAAGCTGGGAGGATTTAAATGTTTCGAAAATCGTTTTCTAGGTTAAAGTGATTAATCGATTTCTACGAATTGTTTTCGTGTTCCTCTTGTTCTTCGATCTGGTCTCGATGACACTGACCAAATTTAATGTTAAAATAAATCATTTTAATTCAAGAAAATCTGTGCCATGTTACAATGTTGTTCACACAGCGATTCAAACCTAAAAGACTAAGTTATTAATGATATAAAATAAATTCAAAGACTGGAGAATGCGATAATGTAAACATCTAAGTTAAATGTTATTAAGAATAACAGTTAAATATGTTAATTAATATACCAATTAAGTTTATTTTTAGTTTAAGATTAAGAAAATCTCTCGTTTTGATGAATTTAACATCAAGTTTACAAAATTTTAGAAACAAATGACTATATTTATTGCAAATCCACTAACAACTCTTTAAAATATATTAATATAAGCTTAAAAAAGGTTTTTATATCAAATAGTTATTAAATACTAAGTTTATTATATTAATGATTTTCAGCTCTTCATTAAGCAGGGTGGTCAAAAAATCAGTTAACCACTTTATTGTGGGTTTCTAGGTACTGTACTTTGTGAAAATGAATCACAAAGGTCGTATAAATTATGCATTGAACAAGAAAGTTCTCATTTTGAACAATTGTAAGCAACGAAATATTTATGGTTAACTGATATCTGGGTCACTCTGTATAAGATGACGTTTTAATTGAAAATAGGATGATTGTCGAGTGATGTTTTTATATGTTAATTTATGAACTATACACAAATAATTGAAGATGTGGTAGAATCGATATTCTAATTTACGAATAACGGTTACGCGATTCATTCATGTTTATTGGAAACACGTGAACGTAACTGAAGTTCAATGAACTGAATGAAACGAAACTGACAACATAGCATCACTATAGTAACGACTAACCTATATCGTATATTATGTTAATTGCCAACTAAATTAAGTCTGATACTAAATTTAGTTTTCAATTATTGGTAAATAGTATCAGACTTAATTCTTGATAAAAAGTACAAGAATTCCTTTTACTTACAAAAAGAAAAAAATTATAAAAGTTTTTAAATAGAAACACGTGTCAAAAGCAATTCCTTTTAAAGTAAAAAAAATGGTCTTATAATTTACAAAAAATGATTGTAATGTAAAACAGTTTTTAGAGGTTTTAGAACTTGCACCAAACGTAATTTTACTCTGTCAAATTTAATAGATTTCATTGCTGTATATATATATTTTTTTAAATATTATTTTTTATTGGTTGCAGTGTCGTGTATAAAGTGTTATCGATGCGAATCGAAGACACATTTGCACTGTTCCGAAAGGTTCGATCACGAAAATGCTAATTTACAACCCGAAAGTTGTTCTGACGTATTCGAAGCTCAATATTGCATCAAAGCTACAGGAATGTTCGAGGGTGAGTAGAAAAAAATATTACAACGTAATTCTGTCTGTCGAGCGGGTTATATCCGATTTCCTGTCATATTTCACGCGATATATTGTTGTCATTTTGTAAAAATATCTATCTAAATTTTTATGATATAAATACAAAAACATATGTATTCGAAATGCAAATTTTCTATTTATCTAGCTATCTAAGCACATTTTTACACTTATTTAAATCTCGATGTAAATATAAATCAGTATTTGTATAGATTATACATTTCTTTATGTAGAAAATTATAATAAACTGGATATTATTTAGTTAATCTTTACAAAAAATGCTTTTGTTAACAATTTTTTATAATTTATAATATAAAAATCACACATTATAGTGTATATAAAGAATAATCTTTATATAAATAGCTATTTTGAATTATAACTGTAGTTTGGAATGTATACACTTCTAAGCCTTTATACAGTTTAGTTTTTACACATCTTATACCATTGAAAACGATTAAGACAACAGAGTAACAACATAAAAACTACAGACAATTAAAAGTAATTGGAATGTCTTTAGGGATTGTTAACAAAGTATTTCTTGAAAAGATTAACTACATATTTTCTACTTTATTTGGCCATTAACTATACTGTTAAACAATAACATTTCTAAGTAATTTTTAATTAAATTAATTTATCAAAATTTATACTCTTTTAAATAATTATAAAACGTATTTATATAACCTATAATTAATGTCTTGTTTGTGAGATATATTAACATTTATTCTATCTTCGAAAAAGTCGTGTAGTAAAATACGTTAAGACGTATATTGTCTTTTTTTTTGTGCAGGTGAGATAGGAACTAAGAGGTTCTGTTCGTCACGTGATCATGGTGACTATTGTGAATACGTGCAGAGGCCAGGTGACGAGAGGGAATATCGTTCTTGCATTTACACATGTTCTACTGACGGTTGCAACTCCGCCATCTCTTGGAGGCTTTCCTTACTATTAATGTTATCAGCTATCATACTTAACATGTGGCAGTGGGGCGAGTCGCCGTTTCACTGAAATCTCTCGAATGTTATAAGTCGTATTTGAAGTTATTCATGTTTTATGAATCGTGACGCGGATATCGACATATATAGTAGCATATTTATGTTCTTTATCAAACGGGAAATCATTTTATCCGAATGTATCATTCATTTTTAAGTGTCAAACTCGAGAATTAATCATGTGCTGTAATATTACTTGTGGCATCATTAAAATAGAATAAAAAATATATATATATTATTACATGAATTTTTAAATCAGATGTAACGTTTTTACTTGTATTTTTTTGTTAAATTTTAATTCACCACCACTTAGCTTCAAAAATTTTGACGCGTTTTTAATTAATGTACGAGTTTTATCATAAAATATTCTGTCGTGGAATATACCTGTCATCGAAAGAGATGATGATAAAAATAAAAAATGTACTTATGATAAAAATAAACTGTAGTTAGTCAAAACAGTCGTAGCAACAACAGCAGGGACTTAAGCAAAACAGCAAAGGATAGCAGCAAGCTAAGAGCCAACACTTCTCCATTAAGCCATTCCGGGAGTGTTCTCGCAAAATTCTAAATGTAAAAAAAAAAATTAAAATCTGTTAAGTTTAATTTTAAACAGACATTATAAATAAAAATTATAAATATTCTAAATAATATTTTACAAATAACTTTTGCAAATTTGCTGTAATACAATTTACATATTGTGTTTCAAACGTTTAACATATTACATAAAGTAATACGAATCAAACTTTTTACCTATAGGAACTTATCGAAATTTACTCAAGATGCACCACAGAATTCAAGAACTAATAGCTTTTATGCCAAAATAAGCAATACAATATATTTTACTGTGCATTTTTATTAAACATAGGAGTATCGTGTTTATTTTCGAAGTTATAGTGATTGAGTTGGCATAATTCACATATCCTATGAAAAGCAAAAAATTCCAAAATGATTTTCATCTGTTCAAGACGAATGCCATTGTCAACAGGTGGTATCAACCTCCTAAATACATTATTATTGCTTTTTAAGGTTTAGAATATCCATTAAGAACCATTTGGAATTTTATGTTAGAATGGTTAATAATTTACATTGGAAAGTTGCTGTGATAAAACAAAAAACGCTTATGAATTCTTTTACTGTTATAGAATATAACAAACGTTGTGACCGGTTCACTCTTATTAGCAATAACCTAATGCTAATCATTTCTGCAAGAGATAATCTGATTGAATCAATTTTATACCATTAAATTCTGAGAATGCGACGATAGAGCAAAGAATATGTTCTAGAAATTTTGAGTGCAGTTTTTAAAAGAATATTGCAATATTATTATTATCTTCATCAGAAAGGAAATGACGTATAAATGAAACTCGTAATGAATTTAGTTGTATAAACGAAATGTTGTACCATCAAGAGAAAAGTGAATGTTTTCGAACTAACATAAAAATACGTATGTGAAACGTCTAAACGTTGCTCCGCTGTTGTACCTGTCATATAAATTATTATTACGTACGTGTACGGTACATAAAGATAAAATTTTTTCCAGATAAATTATCATTGTATATATATAAGTTTGTTAATTCGTGAATTGCATTAATGCGTGGCAAGGGTCAAGTCGATTTTGTTTCAAGTAAGATTATTTTTAATTTATATATTTATTTAGTTTAATATAAGTACTTACACGGTCTGACCGTAAGGATACTGTAAAGGATAAGGAGGAGAAACGGTAGGAGGAGGCGGAGTAGGATAAAACAAGCCTGGAGATGCAGGTGTAGACGGGTAGTAAATAAACTGTTCCTTTTGTGGATAAGGTGGCGGTGTTCCCTGTACACAAAGAATTAAACGATTATCTTATATATAATAAAACTCTTAAAAAAACTACAAAATAATTTACAGAATAGTTTAATGTTTAACTTTGAAAATAATTTAAATATTGAAGCGTGATTAATGGGAATAATCATAATATCTTTTGCCATATTAACGACTCTAATAATAGAAAATAAGAGGCAAAATGGAAATATATTTTAATCAATAATAAAATTTTTATCGTCACATTTTCTTTTAATAAGATATGAGGCTTTAGATAAATTTTGTTAGATAATAAAGTTTTTGTTTAAGAAAGTTATTCAAATTAAACACCCAATATTGCAAATTTAATGTGAAAAAGTTCGTGAGGAAGATAATAACTTCATAAATATTCATGATTTTATCATGCTTAAGAGAACACGAAAAAAAGTACAATAACCTTATTAAAAACACGAAATGGCTAACAGAAAATGCTAGAAATTTATGTGCAAAATAAATTTTTTATTCAAAAATACTTAAAAGATACAATTACTGTTGTTCTGTGTTTTAAATGAATGATATATAACAGCTACTGGAAAATTTATAAACTAACCGAGACTTGTCAGCTTCAGTCAACTTATAAATTCGAAGTCAAATAACAGCACAAATTATAATTCAATCAACGTCAACTTAATATAATAAATAATATATAAATAATTTAAAAAATTAAAATTTTGAGTGGCACTTTATAGTTAGAAATTATTTTAAAAAATGCTAAAATATATTATTCTTGAGAAGGTGAATATTAATGAAATTTATATTAGTTTAATGACTGATCACTTACCAATAATTTTCAACTTTATTTCATCTAATAGTTAAATTTAATATTGATCAATGCAACATTTTAATTAAGAATACATACAGTATGTACAGTACTTACAGAGTTTAATTAATTATTACATTAAAATAATTCTTGCAAACATATTATATATTATTAATATTAAATATATATAATTTGCAACCGAGTTATATAATTTGTGATTTATTTTATTTTTATTTTAGCTCAGTAAAAATTTAATTTCGAACTTCATTAATGGAGCATGATGTTACAAGTCTCTTATTTTGTAAATTAATTTTTGTATGTTTCATTTCTACGCTTGGATTTTCTAACGTACTACAATATAAACCTTATTCTAAAAAATAATCTGAGCGTGTATATAAGATATAAATTCGTAGCTTTTATATATTAATTTATAACATTTACAAGAATAAAGTGGCTGTGATTATAGCAGATATTTTGAATATTTAAGACGTCAATTTGTTTTTTTACATTCGAGATAAGTTAATTCAAAAGATGGCTTAGATCGTGGCAACACCAGTCATTATTAAAGTGGAATTTAAAGGAATCAATCTTGAAAATCATAAGTTTTTGTTTAAATCACCTGCCGAACAGGTGTTCTCGTCTGAAGGATAAGTCTATATCTCAATTTACATCTATAAATAATGACGCTTTAAAATATTTTTATCGTTATATAAAGCCACTAAAAATATAAAAGACATCTAAAATATATATAATTATTTCTCATAAATACAGTAAGGTTAATTAAATCTAAGCATTGTAACTTTTTTTGTAAACAAGTCTAGATACTAAATTAAGAAAAACAATTTTATATAAACTTTAAAAAGTTTATTTACAGAAACAAATCAAATTTAAACATCTTATCATTATAACACAAACAAACAAAACCAACGAGAGATTGTTTATTTTTTAAAAATTTAGTCAGTAAATAACTAGACGTGGGTCTCAATTTATATCAATAGATGACGTTTTAATAAATTTTAACATTTAAAATGAATTAAAGACATCATACCTGAAGATTATGATGATATTGAGGACTTTGTGGTTGCATACTTATTCTAATTTTATAAAATGATTAAAAATATAAAATTTATACAAAGTAAAATGAATCTGAAATGAAAAAAAAAATAAATTATTTCATATTTTATAATGAATTAAATGTCTAGTTATTAAAATATTTAATTTATTAATGTGTCAAAGCGACGTTAGATTAATTCGATACATTTTTAAATTAACTAATGTAGAATTAAAACTTTTTAATTGATTAGAAATTCATTGATTGTAACTTTAATAATGAACACTTATTGGATTTTCCAATTATATTTACCAACCAAATTAAGACTGTTATTGATTTAATCATTTGTAGAGAAGAGTTTATGTAATCGTTTAAGTGCTATTGAAACTTTTCTAACAAAGCATGTTTGTTCTATTTATTTTGTCCTAATTTCGTACTGTTTGCTTATGAATAGGCCCTACACATTTACCTGTATCAGCACATTAATGTCTTATTAATGTAAAAATATTGTTAAGAGTGCGAATTTTTAGAGTACAAGTGTCGTGTTTAATTATTATATTACAAATTAAATAGGTGATTTAGAACAAATATTAATGTTTAAAAAATTAATTGATTATAATAGAATACATAATTCTAACTACAGAATAAATGTTAATTAAATATTTATATATTATTTAAAATATAAAAAATTAAATATAATTACTAATTTTAGGGAAAAATAATAATAATTTCTTCTAATTTTTATAATTTTTGAATATTTCTAAAATACATTTTCGGCTTCCAAAATATAATTTTAATTAAATCGCCGATATGAAAAAAATTCGAATTATGAAAATAATCAAATTCGAGTTAATTAATTTTGTTCTAATTATATTATTTAATAAAATTAAAAATTATTAAATAATATATATTGAAAAATTATATAATCATTTAATAATTTATGTTTAAAGATGAGATAAATTAATATAGTGGGTTAAACTAGAAGCCATAGTTGAAGGTAATGGAATGCAAAGTTAACACGATAGTTATAGTGTAGATTGCAAATTGAATAACAGATATAATGATGATGCAGTCATTATATTATTTTCCCGGCTCTGTTATATATAACACAGCGATCGGTTAAAATATGACTCCCGAAGATTTTTACATTTTTGGACTCGAGATACCGTGAAACGTCGAGAAATGCAAAAAATTTCAGGGTTTTTTTCTGTAGGTATGATGTTAGTGTGTGTGGGGAGGGTATGATTTTATTCATACTCTTTGAAGCTTAATAACTCCTGTTTTTGTCGAAAATTTCTGAAATTTTGCAGGGAGGTTTGTTTATTAGGGGGATTGATGGTATTAAATTTTGGCGGTTAAAGGTCGAGGTGATGGGGAGATAAAGAAAATCGTATCATATCTCGAGAGGGATCGGACTTAACGATTTTATTCACCTCGTTATTCGCCGCCACCAAATGTTGCCGGAAAAGTTAAGCAACTCGCTGGATTTTTGAAGTTGGTGTTGGCAACGCAAGTAGTTTATGTTTCGTGTAGTGGAGACTATAAACTTAGGCATTAATTTTAATTTTTAATACTAAATTAACCTTTTCTATTCGATATCCTATTCCGCGAGTATTGCGGATTGTCTGCTAGTATAGGCCTATAATATTACATATTTTCATTTTAAATTGTACACAATATCATTTTACATTAATGAAAATATTAATGTTAAAGAAAGAATTAACAAGGAAATTAATTCATATTTTTATTTAAGAAGTAATACGTAAGCAGACAATTTAAAAATTTGTTGAAGATTATATAAATAATTATATGTACAGTAGAGCGTCGATTTTCCGAAAGTCAATCATCTAAAACGTCAATCATCCGAAAGAATTCCAGTCGTCAAATTTAAATTTTCGCCAGTGCTGTGGCGCTTCAATCTTTGGCTATGTCTTGGGCTACTCAAATATTTTACGTTTTTGATATAAATTAACATCTGAAGTATAATTTTTTATTATTTTTATATTTTTTAATATGTTTATTTTGTTCGTACAAAATAAAAAAATAATTTTTAACGATACAATAGTCTTCGTTAGGCTTAACATCGACGAAAATTCAACGCGAAGCGACACGCAACGGAGAAAAATTTCAACATCGGATACGTTAAACTATTTTTTCTTACATAAATCGGTTATCCGAAATATCAGTTATACGAACAACCTCAGTCCCCAATTGATTCGGAAAATCGACGCTCTACTGTATTTATAAATACGGTTTAAATATTAAAATTTTACAATGAAATAAATTACTTTATCCTAAGTTTATTCAGCGGGCAGAGATAACATATCTCCTTTGCCCCAAGTCAGTGATGTTACGTGTAGAGACAGTGTGAAGAGTGTTATAAAAATGTCTTGATCTCGTCGTAATCTTGTGAAGTAGTGTCTTAGTCTGGTCTCTCTACTTCAGGATCGCCAAACATTTTTAACCGTCGACCCCCAACCACTTTCCAAAGCTTCACATTGACCCCCACCGTAAAGTTTTATTACAAGTGTATGTGTATGAGCAAAAAAAAAAAAAAAGGTTGTGACCCCTTAGCTGCATCGACCCCCTAATCGACCCCCTAGTCGCATCGACCCCTGGGGGTCGATATCGACCACTTCGGCGACCCCTGCTCTACTTATTAGTAGTGTGTTGTATTGATCCGCATTCCTTTTTTAAACTATTCGGCATTTTATATCATAACAGCAACAGTATCAATATATTGAGTTCTTTGGTGCGTAAATGTTTTCATAAAATGAAAGTCGTATCGAATGTTTTTAAATTAAGACAAAATGAAAAATAAAAACATTTCTTAAGAATATTTACAAATGTCTTTATTTTCTCCATTATTCCAGTTTTATAAATAATTAGTGCTGTTGGAATGGATTTTTCGGTGATCTGGCCATATAGATAGCAGTCTATCACGGCAGTATACGGCATTTTGACTAGCAATGCTTTTTGTCAACAAGAACTACCACTAGTCGAGTGGTTAATGACAGCCTACCGTTCTGAAGACCTAGGATCGAATTCGGACCGATCGAAAATCCCTAGGAATTTTTCGGAGACGATCTGTCCAGATAAGTCGGGCTCATTCACCCGGTCGCACCATTGTGAGCCTGGCCGAACTCATAATGAGCTTGATGAAAAAAAAGGTCCTCTTAATGATCAGAGAGCGGAAAGAGCTGTAAAAAAAAAGTGACCCAGTAGTTAAAATTATTGAATACTAATAGTTGGCCGCAGGTTCACGCCTGACCAATGGGCTGACCACATGAAGTTTTTCGAATTTTCTTCGCCGAAATAGGAACCATTGAAAGTCCTCCTTTTGGCGGATCGTCCATGTATCGTATGCCCTCTTTCATCATACCATTTTGTCAACTGTTTATTTTTTCGCAATGGTATTTCTTTTTTATACAGTATTTTTTGCTTTGTAAATTATATTGTATTTTAATTATATTTTATATAAGGATTTTACGAAGATTTTTAAATTATTGCAGTTAAAAAGGCAGTATCGTGAGATATCAGGATCTTGCGCCTTGATCTTGAATTACAAGTCTTGGTCTTTGTCTTTATCTTCCAAGTTGGGGTTTTGTTTAACGTCACTGCCACAAATACATGAAGAAAATTTGTGATAAATCCTTAAAATTTATTTTAATGTGGTCAAGGTAACAGCCTACCGCTCTGGGGAACCTGGGATCGAATTCGGACGGGTCAAGGAATCCCCCAATGGCGTGCCGTCATTGGAAGCGGTGGATGCGCCGCTTCTCTTGTATTTTCTAAAAAATAAATACATATTAATTTTAATTATATGAAAATAATCGCACAATATTTTATTATAACCGCATTATGTATCTTATTACAAATTTCTATACTACTCGTGAAAAATAAAGATAAGATTGCTATTGTATATTCGAATATTAGTGGCGGAGTGGAAGTGCTGTATCGCCAGCATCCAAAAAGCCAGATTCGCGCATACGCTTTACAGAGCACCAACCTCACCCGGTTTAGCTGGTGGAAGCCTACGACCTCGGGTGGATGCTACACGTATAACGCATCCAATTGTATCCGGGACCGGTTCTGGGCTGTTAGTAGGGCCGGATTAACCCACTTTGGGGCCCTAGATATTTTCTTCTTACCGGGCCCCTCCCTCTCCCGTAAGAAATAGAGCACACAAAAAATATAAAACAATAAATAAAACAAAACTAAATAATGTGATAAACTAAAACAAATCTTAAATTTTTATTAATAAAAAATATTTAATACACAACAGAAAATTTTCCAGTTCAACGAGAGTGACCGAAAAGTGAATTTGTGAATTTGTAAATTTTGGAAATTTCCGTGGACAATACCTAGTCCTAAAACGAATTAGTTAGAAAACAAACGACGGACAATCTATTAAGTTTGACATATTTAGATTTTTACAGCTATGGCGAGAAACGTTTAAAATTTACAACCCTGTCTCCTCCTTTGAGATATACTAGTGATGCGACAAAAGAGGCATTTGACATTGACCGGTATCGGCACCCTCGGGATTTGGCACGCATGCACGCACCGCACACCTACCAAGATCGTCTCTGATTCCATCCACGAGACACTGGTAGGGAGCACTTTTAACTAAGTGGATTGTTTTAATATTTAAAAAGTAAAGAATATCTTATGCTATTTTTATGTACATTTCTTCACAAAACTATATTCATACAATCGAATATTTTGTACCAGGTATGTATAATTGTATATCGATCACACATTTTATTTTAACAAGTAAGTTTTTATAATTTTATTTTTAATTTTAGCCCTTATATTATAGCTAGCAATTTAGAATGTAATTGTGATATCGAAAATTTATTTCAAAAAGTTTTGGCTCGAGACCATATAATGAAAAAGAAAAAATTTGTTCGACATTTTCATGATAAAATTTATGAAGATATAAAATGGCTTTGTGGATGCATAAAAATGCAAAATTTGTTTTGTTGGCCTTGCCTACTATTTTCAAATAAAATTAGTGTGTAGAATGAGATTGGCTTTGACGATTTAAATAATTTGAGTAAAGCTGGCAAAAGACACGAAAATCCTAAATCTCGCATCGATTCTTTCGTAAAATTGAAGCAATTTGGAAATCAAAATAGAATAGAATTTAACATTAGTACACAATATAAAATAAATATTGAAAATTATAACAAGATAGTTACGGCTAATAGATATAATATATTTAAATTAGTAGGTGTTATCGAAGCAAGAATTGGCATTTAGAGGGCATAGGGAATCTATTAAATCTAATATAACAGAGGTAATTATATTGAACTTGCTTATTTATTAAGTGCGTTAGATAATCTATTAATTCAAAATACATTTAGAGAAGTCTACGGTTTTTACTGGCTTATCGAACAACGAATACGAATGGACCCTAGACCATCACTGACTGATTGCTCCTGGAAGTCGGCTTCTTACAGAAATACAGCTTCCCTATCATCAAATGTCACGGCACGATACTGGAATCCCCAGGAATTTTTCCGGGGGTAGTCCGTTCGGATATGTCGGGCTCTGTCCCTCACCACCCGGTCGCCCCATTGTGGTCCTGGCCGAACCCATGATGGGCCTGCTATAAGAGGCCCTCTTAGTGCCCACAGGGCGGAAAGAGTATTAAAAAAAAAACTTTCACCAACAATAAAATTTGATAAACAGAAAATTACACTTTAATGTCATATTTTTTAAAATTTAAAACAGCGTTTCTTAACCTTTTTATTAA